CAATAAAAATTACAAAATTGTTTAGTTCCATGAATATCATTATCTATAGCAGAAAATTGAAAACAAAACTAAAAATACAACAATCGAATTCATAAATGAGACAAATCCATCTAAGAAATGATAGAACAAATTGTGATTTAGACCATTAAGAAGCAAACCTTTGTTGACTTGATATCCCTTTAACAAGGTAAGGATAAAAACCAGTGTCAAAATTATGACCCACCAGAACAATATAGTAGTCATCTGGAATAATATAAAAGCAAGATGAGTGAAACCTTGCAGTATAAAGAATAAGTACAATATTAATTCCAACTCTTGAGAATTTCTAAGACCCGCCAATTCATATATCTCTAACAGTTCATTCAAGAGCTTACCTTTGAGACATTGCGCAAATAACTACTCTAACATGTCAATGTAGTAGTTATGCACAGTCATATAAATATAGTAAATAGGGCAACACCAATTTTTATATTGTCATTCAATTGGTATGTATATAAAACAGATCTTCGTTATGTAATGGAGCACGGATTGACACATTTTCTTGCTAGTTTTCTTCTTTTTCAAATAAGAGAAAATAAATTATGTGATAGAAACTAAAGTGAATGTAATTGTAAAGAACAGAAAGTTGCCCCATTTTGGCAGAGCCATAAGAAGTGCAAATAATACCCGTCCTAAACTTCTTTTCTTTTTGACAAAATACCTAAGCTGAACTAGCAAGTTATTTCTCTATAAAAATATTCAAGATGGATAAGAATGATTTTTCCACATCATAGACATGTATGCGTAGAGACTACTAATATTTCATTTGCTCATTAATCTAGGAAAAGTGAATGATATTTTATTAACAGACAACAAGACCAAGTGTGCCAAAATTTAAAGAAATGATCGTACCACCGTAACAAGTCCACATACAATTGTGAAATATAATACGCATCTAACTCCCTAACATTACAAACCTAAAAAAATTTCAAGGCAACACATCACAAGCATGCTACATATAAGTGAGATATGTGAACCTTGTATAAATCAAACTGTAAAAGCAGAAGTTTTTATTAGTGAATTACATGAATCCACGCAGTTCTGTTTCTACTTATTAATATCACATCAAGCAAAACAGGCATATCAAGTTAGGACCATCTCTGACAGTGAGAACCAAGAAACATTAAGCAAGCAACATAAAGGGAAAATACTTACTTGTAAAAGAAACACTTCTCTAGGCATTATTGTGTCTTCGGGAGAATGAGCCATTCCTTCCAATTTAATAACTTCCAGAAACTACAATATGTAAGCAAGTTAACCTGCATCTTACTAAATTTGTGATTGTTTTTTAGTCTTTGGGGAAATGTTACCTCCTCATGCTCAATAGTGTGGGCTAGTGGAAGAATTACTTGGCCCCCATAATTTCCAACTCGAGATCCTGAGAAACTACAGGGACCAACTTTGATGGCAGCAGCTGAGTAAGCATCCATGTTGTTGTCTGCCCATTCTGATCTATGTTCCCGCAAAAACCTCAGTAGAATGGCCGGGGGTACATTCTGAGCACCGAAATAACACATGACAATAACAAATATATAATCAAAACTAAAAATTTGCAACATCTCTAGGCTATGCTTTTGTTAGGGAGGACAGCAAGACTTGAAGAAGACAGAACAAAAGAATATATCTGTCATCACAAAATATATATATCCTTACCTTCTTGTAATGCTTATAAGAATAAAAGTTAACTGAAGAATAAGGTAATCGGTGAGCAATTGTAACCAGGTTCCCTTTCCAGAAAGCTCTAAACCCCTCTTCATGAATTATTCTTGAAGCCTCGTTCCATATACTTGCTTTTCTCAAAGTTGCAACATTGGAATGCATCCCCTGAACCTGAAAAAACAAGATAAAGGAAAAACACATTTTCATAATTATAGAAAATTCAACATCCTGAATAAACTGTACACCCTACCAATTCAGTTCTCAAAACTACCCAAATTTGAGACACCAAAACCAAGTTGATTGACTCATACAATTTGAAGAACCAAGTTAGTTATTCACTATCCAAAGAAGAAAATACAAAAATTCCACAAACAACATTTTCTCTCCCTCAAAGTCTATCATTGAATAATCTAAAAAAACATTGAATAAATAAACGATCTATATGATAAAAGCAACAAGCGTATATTTTTATATTCTTACCAAAATTTGATGTGCATGACTGTTTTGATAGTCTTTCAAAAAGTGTTTGGCTGTGTTATTCATGGCTTCAAAAAAAAGAGTCTTTCATGACTCCAAAACATTCAAAAAAATGGCTGAAAAAATCGCATAAAACATTAGAATACATAATATACTCAACAAACACAGATTAATAAGATACAAGTGATTTCAACCTTGATTTGTTTTAGGCACAACCAGAAGGTTGTGACTGAGTCGGAGAGGATGACGGAACTCCACTTCCGGATGAAGTTTCACTAAATCCTATAATACATTATAAAAAAATTAGTAAAATATTACAAAACAAATTACTAAAAACACTTAAGAAATATTTAAACAATACCTTGTAAAACATCTTCAGAAATCTCATACTCCTCGTTGAATTCGAAGTCTTTGAATTGGTAAAAAGAAGGCCTTAACCAATTCTGAGCACAAATTAGAGCCTCTGCCATTTTTGGTTTGAGAGAGCTTCTATATACCTCTAAAACTCTCCCACCCATGCTAAAAGCACTCTCAAAAGCCACGGTTGAAACTGGCGTAGGCATGATATCTCTAACTATTTGGGACAGAATTGGGTATTGACCGGCATTATGTTTCCACCAACAAAGAATGTCAAAATTTTTATTATTCCTCTCATTAAAAGTTAAACATTTTCCTTCTATATAGTTTTGAAGCTCTGTTTCTTCTTCCACTGAATCCATAGACATCAAATGTTCCTGAAATGCATTTTCCTTAGCTATAGATGTGATTACTTCATCGTTGGCAGCAGTTTCACCATGAGAAACAACCACTGCAACAGGTGGAATTGAGCCTTCAGCAGTGTCATATTCTTGTTTGTAAAGATTGTCATTGATGTCTTTTAATAGGGATTTCGTAGTGTCAGATTCTTTTCCATACATATCATTAAAGCACCATTCTACATATCTTAACTTATACCGGGGATCAAAGATAACACCAAAATAAAGGAGTTGGTTCATCTTAGTGATATCAACCCAATATTTACTATACTTTTCCAACATGTCCCTAGCCACCTCAACAAACAATCCATTAAGGTCCATGTTTAATTTCTTAAGCTCAATGTAAATGGCAGCCAAGTACGGAAAAGCAGTTGCAAGCTTGCTTTTATTGAAACAAAAAAATACCTTTGTCGCTTCATAATAATTCTTCAAAAACTTTACAAACACCCTAACATTAACCCAATCTTGACTACTAGGGGGGAATCAACCTCAAAGAAATCCATATAAGCTTCATCCTCATCTTCTAACTTATCAAAAGCTGTTTGAAACTTTTCAGTCGCATCTAACATCAAATATGTCGAGTTCCATCGAGTTGAAACATCAAGACATACTGACTTCTTGCATAAGATCCCAACATATTCCACACATTCCTTAAACTTTAAAGCCCTATGGGGTGAAGATCTAACAAACCTAATTGCATTTCTAACACTTGAAATCGAGGTGTTAGCTACTTGTAATCCATCTCTCACAACTAGATTCAATACATGGGCACAACACCTCATGTGAAACCCAAACCCATCCACCAAAAGTCCATTCATGTTTCTTACTTTTTGTTCTAAATATTTAACAGCAACATCATTTGATGATGCATTATCCACCGTGATGGTAGACACATTTCTCAGCCCCCACTCCTTCAACACGTCCTCAACCTTCTTACCAACAGTTTTACCCCGGTGATTTGGAATAACCATAAAGCTTATTATTCTTTTTTAGTAATTCCAATCTCTATCGATAAAATGGGCAGTGAGGGTCAAGTAATTTTCATTATATTTATATTTATATAAATATAAATATAATGAAAATTGGATAGAGCCGATCATTAGGGTTTTTTTTTTGTAATTTTCATTATATTTATATTTTTGTTCGTGTATTTTTAATTACATTATAAATTAATATAATTTTATTTTATTATCACTTTATGTTTACGAATATATTTTAATTATATTAATATTCATTACATTATAAATTAATATATTTTATGGTTAATAATAATAATAATAATTAAAATTAAAAAACAATTAAATTTTAAAATATGAAAACGAAAATATGTCATATAATTTCATAAAATAATTTAAACTTTTAAACTTAATTTTTTTAATATTATAGATGACATTAAAAATTTATATTATAAATTAATATTAATATTAATTATATAAATATTAATTAGATTATAAATTTATATTTTTTATGGTTAATAATAATAATAACTTAAATCAAAAAAGTAAATTAAAATTAAAATTAAAAAACAATTAAATTTTAAAATATGAAAACGAAAATATGTTATATAATAATTAAAAGGAAATTGAAAATGCAACAAACCCTAAAATAACTCTCATTCGCCAATTCAATTGGCGAAATCCCACAAAATACTCCCTTTCGCCAAACCAAATGGCGAATCACTTGTGATGCTGTTAGCCTAATTCGCCAAACCAATTGGCGAACGTCTAATACATTACTACTTTAAAAAAAAATTCACATATTTATAATCCTAAGACAATAGTTATTAAAGATAAAAAAAAAAAAAAGATTTTGCTATAGTCTTGTTTTCATGATGATTAAACAAATGGTTGAAACTTATGGCATGTATCTCTCCACTTTTTGACTACATCATGTTCTATCATGAAAAAGAAACTCACCAAGAAATTAAAAACCCAAGTAGTACTAGTAGTGAACACTACATTACATAGTACATACCATTCAAACTAAACCTTTTTTTTTAAATGATACCAATCAATTATATCAAACAAAACCCAAAACCAAACCCATTTTTTCTCTCCATCAATTAGGACCATGGGAGAAAAAGAGAAGAACAAGAACAACAAGAAGCAAAAGCATCAACATCCCAATTCCCAAACAACCAAACAAACCTCAGATTTCTCCTTCAAACCAACCTCAGAGGTAAAAGGCATAAGATTTGGTGGCCAATTCATAGTAAAATCATTCCCAATCCGAAGAGCAAAACCCTTAGAGCTTCTCAAAGTTCTTTCTTTCCCATCAACAAACAAATCCAAATCTCACAAACTTCCTTTCCCTTCCACAACAGCCTTCTTGCCAACAAACTTCACAATCCTAGCACATCAAGCATGGCACACACTAACCCTAGGACTTGGTTCCAAGAAGTCAAAGGTTCTTGTCTTTGTGTTTGAAACAGAAGCTATCAAGTGCTCTGTTGATAGAATTTGGCCACATGAAATAGCACTTGGTGATGTGAACAAGAAACTCATAAAGGGTCTGTCTGGTTTTGAAATGGCCAGATTCAAATTCAGAAAAGGGTGTTTAACTTTTTATGTTTATGCTGTTAGAGAAATTGGAAGCTTTGGGTTTCTTTGTGCGGAAGATTTGAAGATTATTCTTGAATCTGTTGTGGAACTTAAGGATTTCTTGGATCATACTGTTATGCTTTCTATGACAAATCAAAGAAGCATTAGTTACTCTAAATCTCAAAATCAAAATCAAAATCAGGTTGCAATGGCTCATTGATTAATCTTGTTGTTTTATTAATCATATGTTTAATTCATATATACATATTCATGATTCTTGTTTTAGGGTTGAATTTGTTAACATGTTTTGTTTCTTAGTATTTGTTTATTTGTTCATTATGTTTTTTGATTTTTTTTTTTTTGAATTTGGAGAAAAAAACTGTAACTTTTAGAATGAATAATTTTGGTGATTGGATTGAATTGAGGTTGAATTTGTCATTTTCTCTGACACTCATTGATGCAAAAATTTGTTAATTAGCAAGTTAGGAATATTGTATTTTAATTTTTAGCTATTCTAGGCATTGCAGAATCACATTCTAGCATCCCCTGGGTTTATGATATTAGATATATTCCTAATTTATCTAACATTTATTGAACATTGAAAAATAAAAAATTTGTTAAATATACCTCCATAAAAATAAATAGGTGTATTATACAAACTACTATAAAATTCATATAATTATAACTATAAAATTCATATATAAAATATGCATACAAGACATCAATGAAAGTAATGGAACAGACACAGAGTCTGCAATTTCTGTAAAATATTATTCTAAGGTACAAATACTGCTCTATTTATTTATTTTTTCCTTGAAACAATTTCATGGTAAATTGTGCCACTGTCTCTCTTACCCGTGATCCATGAATCACCCTATTTTAAATTTTACAAAATATTTTATAAGGTGCAAAATGACAAATAATCTTGATATTTTAAAAGATGATCATGCATATATACTGTTCAGTTTTGAAAAAATACATTTAGTAAAATATTGGAATATAAATTTAACCATAAGTCATAGGGATTATCAATTATCAAACTAGTTTTTTTATTTTTTTTTTGTATTAAATAAAAATGGTAAAATAGTACATTGTCTGCCACCTATGATATGATCCATTGGGGAGCAACAATGACCCATCTTTATTTCTTCATAAAGTTTTCTAAATTGTTCAGAAAAAGTAATAAAGAAAAAAAAAAGAGACCATATTTCTTTTTCCTTGTGCCCACCTATGGCTTTAATTATGGTATGAGAAGGACCCATGTTAGTGGCAACCTACTTTAATCTTCACAAGAATCATGGACATCATTGTCTTCAAATGCTTGCAGATGCACTCCTTTACCTTAGATATTAAATTGAAAATGTGTGTGGTTCAAGTTTTGACTTAATTAATGTGTTGCTTTCTAGATGGTTCCACCATGAATCCCTATTGGTGAGAGGGTAATTGATTGCATCTTTGTTGTAAATATTTTGACATTTTTTTTTAAAATATTTAAGATGGAGTTTAGTTGAGATTTATCTGTTGTATTTTTTATATAAAATGAAAGGGAAAGGGAAAAGAATGTCAAGTTTTGTGGATATTGAAATAGTAAAATATGTAGGGTAGATTTAGAAGAACTCCAATATAAGAATTAATCTGAATTTTAAGAAGTGTTTTATTTTTTAATATCCTAAACCTCAAGTTTATATTAATTTTACATATAATTTTTTAAAAATAATTGTTCTATCATGTAGATTTTGCAGCAGAGATAAAAGTAAAAATTATATAAAATAATTATTAAATTATTTATCATAATAGGTTCAAGGTGTCATATTTTCACTTACACTTTAATATTAAATATTCTTAAATTAAATTATTATTATTATAATGATAAAATTTTAAGACAAACTTTTTTTCTTTTTCAAAAATACATTAACATTTTAGCAAAAATTAGGTAACAAAATGCATGACTTTGCAACAAATTTTTAAGTGTTATATGAGAATATGTTAGACGATGACAATGATCTAGAAGAGAGGTTGAATAGATCACAAATTTTTATATAGAGTCGGCGCTTATGGTAAATTGGTTTTAAAACTTTTAAACGGAAGCGGCCGAGGAACTATGATCGTCTAAATGAACCGTTACCGAAAAGATCGGATATGCAATAAGCCTAGATGGAGTATAGATTACGATGAGAAATCAAATCAAAAGTTTGGTCACAAATCAGTACAATTTTATTCACTCAAAGTTGTTCAATTTCCAATTCCTTGTGAAAAATAAACTCAAGTTGAAAAACAACCTAAATGGTTTCTGTTCAAGCAATTTGTCGAACACTTGGTGTGTGAAGCACTCCAAATGAAATTCACTAAGTAATGGTAGTGCTAAACTTTTCCAATTACAATCAAAAGGATCGTAATGAGTTTTCCAAATATTTTTCCAGCACTACACTATACCAGAAATTTTAATCAAGCAATTTGATTGTACACAAACGTTAAAATTCAGAAATGAAAAAATAGCGAAAGAGAGAACAACACCAAATTTGTTGAGGTGGTTCCCCCGTCGTCCTCGCTCGGGGTACATCTGCCCTCAATTCTAAAAATAGAATTGAGACTATATAAACCTGTTGCAAATTATATGTACAAAAGAAGCAATAATAATCAAACAGTCAAGCCTAGTTGTTGATACTGAAACTATATCTTCTCTCCCCTTGATTCAAGATGAATCAAGTGCCTCGAATGTGTTGAATAAACCTCCGATTCTAGCTACATGTTTGAATCACCCAACGGTCTTCAAATCTTTAGCCCGACTGATTTCAATCACACACAATCCGAACCCATATATTCCTTCAACAATCCTCTGGTTACCGCTACTAGATTGACAGAACCACCCATTCTTCAATCAGCTTCGCTCGGCTGAATCTATGAAGAAATGATTTGTGCAAATACCCCTTAAATCCCAAGATTCTTGGAGGACAAAACCCTAACGGTTTTATTCAAGAAAAATCCACCAATCTCTCAATCCAAATCCGATACAAATATCTTATGTTTGGACGTTATCACCACAATGATGCAGAATGATCAACAAAAATGGTTATGTGTATTTGTTGAGAAAATGCAAGAAAAAAGATGAAGATGACTAGAGAAAAACCAGTGTCAAATCTTCACTTTTCTTGTTGTTCTTTGAAGAATGAGCTAAAAACAATATATATGTGAAGCTAGGACCAAGTAACAAACATAAAAACTATTTAAAAGTCAAAACACAACAGAAAAATAGAGTGACCCAGCGAATGTTAGACCTAAAGAAAAGGGGGGGGGGGGGTCGACCTGAGCACTCCCTCTTTCAAAATTATGCAGAAAAAGACTCTATGCGTCGATCGAAACAGGTTCATGCATCGACGCAAACATGCCCATAATTGACGAATAGAAATACTAACAGTATGAGTCGACCAGGGGTCGACACGAGCACTCCTGAGAGCAAATCCTCAAAATTCACTATGTATGAGTTGACCTAAGCAGGGCTTTGAGTTGACTCAAATGCTCAAAACTTCCAAAAATGCTCTTTTTGACATGTCTTGCTATATATAAGCACTTCTAATGCATATCTAAGTCTATTAACATGATCAAACCCACACAAAACATATATAATGATTTTCTATATGAATAGATGCATGTTTTTAAGAAATTGGTGTGCGCGAGAGAACTACGAATGCATATGCGACTTGATGATATCGTCCAAAATACAAACTGTTAGACGATGGCTTGGATCTAGAAGGGGGGTGAATAGATCCCAATTTAAAAATCAGTCGGCGCTACCAATTAAAAATTGGTTTTAAAAAATTTGATTTGCGGAAGCGGCCGTGGAAAAGTTACCATCTAAAACGAACCGTTATTAGAAGACCGGATATGCATATAGCCTTATGGAAATGATAATGAGCAAAATAGATTCAACACACTAGTCACACTATCAATTGATTTTACCACTAATAAGTAGGACTAGTTCCAATGCTCCACAATACCCACAAAATATGCCAATAATTCAAGTGAATTTTGGTTTAGGCAATTTATCAAACACTTGGTGTGCAAGGCACTACAAGTGAATTTTGACTTGAGTAAGTAACTCCAAATTCCTTGTACAATATACTATTGTACTAGAGTTCAAAACAGTGATAATCACTTACTCAACTCAATATAAATTTTGACAGAATTGCTTATACTAAAATTACTTAAAATTTAAAGCCAAAATGAAAGTGCAGAAAAATAAAGGAGACAAAGATTTGTTGAGGCAGTTCCCCCGCCGTCCTCGCTTCGGGGTACGTCTGCCCTCAATTCTAAAACTAAAATTGAGATCAATATAATAGATATTCCCTGTAGAGTTGAAATATTTATACAAGGATAGATAAGCAAAATATACAAACAAGCTCTCTTGATGTTGATGATGATTTCTTTCCTTGTTCCTTGATTCGAGTCGAATCAAGTTCTTAGATCATTGTGAGTAGACCTCATATTCCAGCCCCTTTGTTGAATAACCTTCCGTTCTTCAAACCCTCGGCCCGGATGATCTCAAGCACACACAAATCGAACCCCGAACTCTCTTGCAAACTTCACCGGATCCCTTCGCTCAACTGAAGTTGGTAGAGACGATCCGTACCAAAAACCCCCCAAATTCTCCGAATCTTGGAGGGTAAAACCTTAAAGTTTTTATTCAAGAAAAACCTGCTACAAACTCAATCCGAACCAGATTCCCAATCAACGGCTTCAGACCTTATCACCTTGAACAGAACCACAAAGCACAACAAGAATTGTTGTGTTGTGAATTATTGAGGATGAAGATGAAGAGATTTGGTAGCACCTATTTCACTTTTCTTGTTCTTGCACAATTGACTCAAAATTTCAATTTTTATTGAGAAATGAACATAAAACATCTATATATAGTAACCAACAAGCCAACAAACATAACAACTTTTCACCCAAAGTGGAAAGCCTTCAGCAACAGCATAAACGAGCGAGCGATCGACCATAGCAGAACTATGCGTCGATGCATAGCCTGCAGATTTAGACAGATTGAAAAGTCTTCACAGTGTGCGTCGACCATAGGTCGGTGTGCACCGACCCGTGGGCTTTTGCACTGATTCATGCACCGACCATGCGTCGACCTGTGGTCGACTCAAACCCTGCAAAACTGCAAAAATATATATTTTTGTGATTTTTATGCATCTAGTTATGATCACTGGTCTCCCATAT